AGCGGGCGCGGGCTGTCTGGAGGTTCGGCGAGCTGCGTCGCAGCGCCGGCTCTCCCCGCGCCCGGGGAGACGCGCAGCTGCCCCCCTCGTACGGTTCGAAGAGAGCTGGCGGCAGCCCCGCGGCTCCTGACTGCTGCTCCCTCCAGCTTCCCTGGAAACCACTTGGGAGGCATTTTTATTTTCCAGGCGCTGCAGTGCCCTCCGCTCCTTGCCAAGTTGGCAGGTGGACGGTGGTTTGCGCCGTAGCCAAGGAAGGGCTGCAGATCGACAAATACAGAAATGCGAGACTGTTCCTGAGCTGCCAGCCTCAGGGCCTGGAGCCCGGGCGGCTCTCCTGTGACCCAGGAAGGGGATTATCGACTGCTCCTGCCCGGGGACTTTACGTACGGACACTCGGATTCTCCCGAGCCGTGTTCAAACACGTCTGCGAGCTCTCTGCGGCTCAGCTGCACGCCTCCCTCTGCCTACGCGCGCTGGGGAACACCTGCACGTGCCCGTGCTGTTGTGCGTCCACCAGCGGTGGGATGTGGCTTGGAAAAGCCCTCTCACGAAATAGCCACCCTTTTTGCAAGACCCCCCCCTGAGATTTTGGACCAGCTTCCCTTCTCCCATGCTGCTGGCTCACTCTTTGTTATTGCAAAGTTGCCTGTACGTGCCAGGCCGGCTGGTGTTCCCCGCTGAACAGAGGCATGTTTTGCTTTTGCAAGCACAGGGTCTTGCAGCTGTTGCCATGGGCTGATTTAGGAATAAGAAATACACAGCCATTCACAGTGGTTATAATGAGAAGAATGACCTTGATGAGCAGCACCCATGTCTTGGAAGCGTGTGCTTTGGGGCTCCCGTGGCAGTTCCTCTCTTTGCAAATTCTCCCCTCTAGGATTGCCGAAGGCTCCTCCACGCCAGTGGAGTTGCATATACTCTGAAAATTGCAGCTTTGGCTGCAGTTTGCACTAGGTTATGTATTATTGGAGACTTGAGAATTTCTTCTGACATTGAACAAGGTCACATCTACTCATGTATTGAGATAACTTATTATAGGGGCCTGGCTTAGGCCTATCTCAAATTGAAGAGGTTGCAGAGTGAATCACTCCATCTACTGTCCATGGCAGCGAAACTCTCGTTACTTATAGCCAATGCAGGGAAGTTGCTATGATGTCCGAACTGGCATCAGTAATAAGTAATCCAAATATGGCTCTCAGTTCCTGAAGATTTACATTGATTTCAGTAACTTGTCATCAAATTTCCTGGTGTTAGTAACCTGGGAACAAGGTTTTTGTTTGTAGAGGATCTAAACTAAGAGGCTTATACCCACACTTGACATTCACCTTAACATCTCATTCTGGGCTGCTCTGGAGCTCAGAGGATGTGACACATCCCGTACCTTCAATCAGGCAATATTGGCACGTATCATTACTAGGTTCCTCTGTTCATTCACAACATGACACTAAACATGAGCTAGCTACACACAGCAAGCAGGAAATATCTATTCAGTGTGTGTCCTCCACTTCCTCTGGGCTCCGGCAAATCCCAGCAGAGCACCGGCTTATCATCACCAAGGTTCTCACTTTTGTTTTGCTCAGTGTGACACCTTTTCCCCGCCACCGATGTGTACGTGTGTGAAGATCTTTTCAAGTTGCTCGAAGTGTCTTTCCCCTAAATACACTGTCAGGAAGTGAGTAGCGATTACGTCCTGTCTTTAAAAGCTATTTTCTGCTGGAGGGGAACCAAAATAACTTCCAGCTACAACTTTCCAGAGCCATCTGTTGTAGGAGAAGAGAAAAAAAGGATGTCCCATGTAACCGTCCCTGCTGATAACAGCATGGTGATAAACAAATAGTTGTACACGTGCTTCATAGCCACTCAGTTACCACTCCCAATTGGAGGTTGGAGGCTCTATCCACTTCCTTAGTCCCTGTTTCAGTGGGTAGTACCCAAAGGACCAATTATGCCAGTTCCTCAGCAACGTGTAGTGTATTGACTTGTATATACGGGGTCTCCAGATCTGGATTTGACCTTGAGCTTGTTGCACTTGTCATACCCAGTGCTGTGTACCACGCAGGGCCTATGTGCAAGCTGTTGGCTTAGAGCTGTTGATCCAACATATGGATGAATGGTTGGACTTACTATACAGGGCTTGAAACCTTGCTTTTGTCAAGGTACGTTTACATGACCTTGCTTAAATTACATACAGAATGTAACTTTTTTATTTTTTCTTCTTTTTTCATTAAAGCTTGAAGAAGAATTCCAAAGAACGGCCAACATACCCAGAGCTTATGGTGAGTGTGGATTGAGCAGCGTATTGGTTGCAGAGCTTAGACACGTTATTATTAGGTGCCGAAGCCAAGGTTTCTAATTGTGACTGGGGATTTGAGATACTCAGCATCTTGATGTTCATAACAGACAGGAGAATCATGTCACTTCAGTGTCTCGGGAGAGTGACTGCAAATCAGGTGATGCTCTTGGAAATCTTGTTCAGGTGCTGTTCCAATCAGATCGTGGGGAAAAATATCTAAAAGTGGATAACAAAATTGTTAGAGGATAACAGTGAGGCTTCAGAGTTAGTGACCAAGGGTAAAATTCTCCCCTTGGTTTGTGTGATGGCTTCGGGTGCCGAAGCCCAACGCACACACCGGTACATGCACCACGTGGGTTTCAGGAGCTGAACCAACTGCTAAGCTGTATTGACGTGGTGCCTTGGAGAGAAGAGTTTTTGGACAGAGCGATTCCTGGATGCTAGGGACAGAGACAAGGCTGTGGCTAGCAACTCCAGTTATTGAATTTCGTGTGCTGCTTAGAGACTGTTTGCTGTGAGCATGGCTAGGACAGAGGAGTAACTAAGAGGACGAAAATGCTGATAAAGGCTTGCAGTGGTGGGGGGAAATGCAAGACAGTGAGGGCTCTGTGGTCAGATGTACTAACTGCTGACGAACGCCCACCAGTGCAGACACTGGCATAAGCTTAGTCAGAGCTCTGGGCCGGCCCTGGGATGAGATTTTTCCGCAGCGCCAGGGCTCGAGCCTCCCTCTCTCCTGACCTTCTGGTGTTGATCCTGCTGCTACCAAGAGCTCACTAAACCAGGTGAGAAGATCCATGCCACTTGAGAAATCAGTATTTCACTCCCAGAAGCATCTGTTCCTTTTGTTGCCACTCGATTCATGGCTTGCTAATGCCAGGAAGATGCCTAACTTAGTTATTTCTGAAGATCTTGACCCAAACGAAGGTCTGTGCCTTCTGCCCACCCCATCCTTTGGTGCCATTGGTAAGAACTGGGCCAAGGTGAAAACTTCTGCAGAATATGCTCAGGCATTAGTGTCTCCCGTTATTTGTAAGAAGTGCGTTTTGCCATCCAGGGATCTCCTCCATTGCTGCCTGCATCCTGGTACCTTCTGCATGGAGGTGCTGGGACCTCTATTGCATGAAGGTGCCAAGGTTTAAAGTGCTCTTTAGGTGCAAGATGTGCTAGAAATCCATGCACCTTTTAGAAATGAAGTGTAAGCGATGAATAATTCCTGTGGCATTTCTTGCTGGGCTCTGTAATGCAATTAGACTATATATAGATCTGATTTACGCATGGTTTGCTCAAACACTGGTTTCAGACAAAGGGAGGCCCAAGGTTTATGGCTTTTTTTCCTTTTTTTTATTATTGAATAAATACATATATATTTTAAGCAAATCTCTAAAGTTTGCCAAATGGCCTTTTATCAAAAAGGTTCACCAGAGCAGCTCTGTCTGTTGCAGCATTAATACCCGTTGGCAAGCGAGTGCATTTCTATTGAATTAGGTTCTTGGATCACCTCTCCAGAGTATCTCAATGCTGTGGTATTTTATGGCTGACATGAATGTTGTGAGGTCCTGTGGCTGTGGGTTGGGGTTTGGTTTTGTTTTGTTTTTTCTACTCCCTCCTCTCTCTCTTATGACATTAAGTTGCGGTACTGGATTGGACTTGTCATTTAGACCAAGGCTGCTCCCTTGCTTTCCTGTGGAATTGAGGTTTCTCATGGAAAATATGACTCTGTGCTATCTTGAGCGTCAGGAAAACTGATACGGATGCTTAATTTCATTTTAAAACCCACTTCCCCAGGTGAAGTGGAGCGTGAAACTACTGCAGGACTCCTCCCCTGGTGGTCCGGGCATCGTGTCGAGCACGTCCCGGCCGGCACGAGGTGGCTGTGCTGATGGCTGAGTTGACTCAGCTACGTAGTGTATTGACCCGGCCGTTGAGCAGGGCTCAGGTTTGGGGGAGATGGCAGGGTGCCGGCCCGTCTTCAACCTACCCAGCGCAGGTGTGAACGTGGGAACATGGCGGGGAGCTTTAAAAACCCCTGCAAGCCCCCTGAAAGCCACAAAGTGCCTGTAAAAACGTGGTTTATACAGAGAGGGTCAGGAATCGGACCCAGTCCCACTGGGCTAATGTATGGGAAGCCCAAAGTCACCTTGCACAAGGCAGAGGGAGGCTGCTCGCCCGAGCCCCGCAGGGCCCTGGGGCCTCTCGGTCACCTCTGATGTCCCAGGGTCCCGATCCCTGCCTGAGCCCTTTGGGCTCAGCCCTCAATACGAGCAAATGTAAGTAACGGCGTACTAGATGCCGAGGCGGTGGGTGCCGAGCAGCGTCGGAGCCGCTCCCGGCGTCAAGCTTGCGTCGCCCGTCCTAGCAGCGAGGGGCTCTGTTGTGCTGGGGAGGGGGATTTGGTGGTGTTTTTTGCTCTTGACACGTATTTTTCCGTTTGTGCTGAGATGCAGGCGAGGTTTTCTGGCAGGATGTCTTCCCACGTTGGTCACGATTAAGTAGTTAAACATACAGCGTGCTGCGGGCTTTCCAGCTGGGGTGGCTTTCCTCTGCGGCAGTTAGGGGTGAAGTAGCCGTCTCCTGCTGGGACTATGAGCAATCGCAGGGACGAAATGAGACTCAGATGTCACCGGAGGGTAAATACGCAGATAAAGCCGGGAGCTGAGTGAAAACCCACCGCCGTCAGCCTTCCTGCGAGGCTTTCCCTTGCTCCCGTGGGCGCTGCCGGGGTGGGCAGCACGTCTCCTCCGGGGAGAGGATGCAGACAGGGACCAAAGCGCAGAAGATGGAAAGCCCCCTATTATGATGCTAGCAAACCCCTTTTTTTCACTGTCTGGGAGACTGGCTAACGAGCTGTTAGGTCTGGTCCTTTGAGTTGTGAATAATAAATTTTAAAACGTTTTCTCTTTTTTTTCTCTCTCTCTTCTTTTCGTTCCCAGCAACATCCTTTCTTCACCCTGCACGAATCCAAAGAGACAGACGTCGCCTCTTTTGTCAAACTCATCCTGGGAGACTGAGAACTGGACTTGTAAATGAATTGCCCTTCTGTGGACTGGTGGGTGCCGGGGAGGGGCGCGTGGCAGGACTTGTCATGAAAGCACCAACAGAAAGTCGCCGTGTTTTGTTTTGTTTTGTTTTTATTCTGAGAAACCCCCGCCTCTCCGAAGTTTTTAAAAGGGTTCTTTGGTATCCATAGTGACATAGAACGAGCCGGTTAGTGAAATGAATTTTAATAAGGTTGGTGACCTTAAAACAAGCGCAAAACAAGCCAACAAAAATTTTAAGCGTGATTTACATATTTAATGACAGTTGAAATCCCTCTTCCTAACTTGCTCCTCGACCCCCTTCCCTTCCTCCTGAACCGGAATTTGCTTTGTCATGGTAATAGGTGCTATGGTAGTCATGAAGTTGTATGTAGATTTATATTTTGTCCCTTCCATTATTTTAATATTTATGTTAAGTGCTTGATGGAATAGATTTCTGTTTTATATGAGGATGAATGCGTGGTGACGATGATGATGCTAAATGAGGCCACAGCAAGCAGTAGTTGTAGGGCTTTGCTGGCGAAAAGGTGTCACAGGAAAAGAGGAAGAAGAGAAGTGTCTGTGTTGTGGAAAATATTTAATGTGCATCGTCAAAAAAAAAGTTTATAATCAAGGATCTCAATTCGGCTCCTCGAGCTGCCTTCGCAGGGGCACGGGGGAAGGCGCGGGCGTCCCGCGAGGTCGCCTCTCCTGCGGGAGACGGTGCCCTGAGCCTGGCCGCGGTGGCCGGACAGCCGGCC